AGAATAACGGAAAGAGCCTGAGGGCGACGATGATCTCGCACGCGCTCTAAGAGCGGGGACCGGTAGTTAGTCGGGAGGGGAAAGAGGGTATCAGTACACTCATGCACTGAAGCAGACATGCAATCACCCAAATAATATAGACGTGCACTCATGCACGCAGCAGGACAAAGACATAACGTGCCTTCAATACTCATACATCCTTAGACTTTCTGGCAGCGAAGCATGCGAATACTCATACATCCTTGGACTTTCTGGCAGCGAAGCAGTCAACTTCCATAGACACTCTCAACCAAAGTCATGCACACGATTGAGTATCCACACTTAGTCTATCGGGCACACAACAAATGGACAAAGCGGCAATGGAGGAGAAACGAGTTCCAAAATGACAATAACGCAGTCACCAAACCTGCCAAAACACAAGCCAACCATAGCCACAAGGCCCTGCCGCTGGCTGCATTCTCGTATCCACCACCACTCAGTCCCTCCGACTGCCTTACCCAGAGTCTACCCCTAATTCCACCCCTCGTCGTCACTCCGCCCAGTCCTTGGGCACGTCAAGTTTGTTCAGCGCCTCAATCTTCATGCATAGCTTGCGCTACATTGCAGCCGAGATCAAGCAGAGGGAGAGGAAGGGACTGCACAAATTTATAGTGTGGAAGGCGGCAGGGCAACAACGTGCAACACACGTAGCGACGGGTGTAGATGAGGACGGGAGAAGGAAGAAGGTTCCAGAAGGTAAGAAGGCGGAACGATCGGAATTCTCATTCACTTGGGGTAGTATGTTCAGTCCCTTAGTCTTCACGCATAGCTTGCGCTACATTGCAGCCGAGATCAAGCAGAGGGAGAGGAAGGGGCTGCACAAATTTATAGTGTGGAAGGCGATGGGGCAACAACGTGCAACACACGTAGCGAGGGTGTAGATGAGGAGGGGAGAAGGAAGAAGGTTCCAGAAGGTAAGAAGGCGGAACGATCGGAATTTTCATTCACTTGGGGTAGTCGTATAAGTCACGCGCGTAAGTTTGCCCTTACGATTTGATCCGACCAACCCAACTAACGATCAATCAATTGCACCGAAGTACAAGGGGAGGATAGGACGCATGGCCTAAGGGAAGACAGAAGGGAAGTTGTCATGCATGCGCAAAAGATATCGTGCATGCGCAAAGATGGGAAGTTGTCGTGCATGCGCAAAGCAAGAAGGGAGCTTGTGTGGCAAACAAGAATTCAAAAATGGTTGCGTGCACGCCCGCTGATGCAAAGAAAATTTAAAAATGTCGTCATCCGAAACTCATAACTGTTTCTTGAAATTCTCGTGTGGTCGCTAATCGATCGCGTGAGACTACTTTGAACAAGGACAAGGGAAAACCTAAAAGATGCATGTGGATGACCCTCAAAAATTGAAAACGGATCCGGTTTCTTGGAATTAGTCAAGATTTGTACTTCATGACTTACTTCAAGGTTTAACCCGAAGGGTACGTAAAGTCGAGAGGTACAAAACCAGCCTTATTACAGACTTCTCACGATTGCGACTCAGTCTTGAGGAATGACCTGCAACAACTGTTTTCTGCATTCTTCAATGCTGCACAAACCTTTCAACTTGAGTTTAAGCCACTAGTACCTCTGCCAATGTTGGAAAATTACAAGGTTTTGCCTATTCCCGAACAATTTGGGGCTGGGACCCAGGGTTGGCAAGTCCCATAAATCTTAGTTTTCTTTTGCCCGCGCGTGAAAGGAAAAGGGGAAAAAAAAGCTTATGTACTGCAATGATGTCGGACAGGTAGTCTAGGAGGTCGTGCTCACAGTCTTCCTCTACATAATACATCTTACAACAAAAATGGTCACATTTTGAAACTCATTGTTTTCTTTTTTTTCTTTCTCGTTTGTTTGTTATGAACCCCTGCCAACGAGGCAGGGCAGATCCGTAATCTGCTCTAGTTGTGTTTCCTTAGAGGATTGAAACCTTGATCAGACAGACACTTAGAGGAATGTATCCAGCCATTTTCATGACGGCATCCGTGTTTTCATTTCTTGTTTATTGTTTTTTATTTCTGGAATCTGGCAATCTAAATCCATGATCTGCTCCAGCTATATTTCCTCAGAGGATTGTAACCTTGATCACACTGACGTTGAGAGGAATGTGTCTAACCATTTTTACGACCGAATCTGTGTTTTTATTTTTTTATTTTTTTTAATTTTTTTGTGAATCTGACAACTTAGCCACGGGGTTGAGATCACATTCACACTACCACTTCCAAGAATGTATACAACTGCAATCACAGCCAGAGCTTTGTTTCATTTTTCTTGTTTTCTTGTTTTGTGAGTTTCACGGGCACAACTCTTTTTCTTCTTTTTTTTCGTCCCGTGAAAAGTACCATAAAGAAAATGGAGTGGGTCCCAAGCTCGACAAAACTTGGAGCGCAGTGAAATCTAGGGTCGACAAAAAACAGGCTCGGAGGTACTCGTGTTTTAATATCCTCCAATCTATAAGGGCGGCCGTGTTCATGTCCGCAGCCGCGGCTGGCCTCGGCCGTGCCGCGGACATGAACTTACACAATTTTTCCTGAATTAAATGATGGGAAAAAAAAAAGAAAAAAAAAAGGGGGGGTTGTAGGGATTTTCAAGCCCTACAACCCCTTTTTTTTTTTGAAAAATATCATTGTTTAGAATTATTAAAAAAGAAAAAAAAAAGGTGAAGAAGAGAAATTGAAAAATAAATTTTAAAAAAAAGTTTTTTTGGGGGGGGAAGGATTTTTTGTTGGCAGAT